CAAAATTATGGTCCCTTTTTGGGTGCCCTAAATATTAGGTGCCGTAGTAGAATAAGCCCTGGATGGGTAATTGTCAAAATTATGGTCCCTTTTTGGGGTGCCCTAAATATTAGGTGCCGTAGTAGAATAAGCCCTGGATGGGTAATTATCAAAATTATGGTCCCTGGTGCCGTAGTAGAATAAGCCCTGGATGGGTAATTATCAAAATTATGGTCCCTTTTTGGGGTGCCCTAAATATTAGGTGCCGTAGTAGAATAAGCCCTGGATGGGTAATTATCAAAATTATGGTCCCTTTTTGGGTGCCCTAAATATTTGGTGCCGTAGTAGAATAAGCCCTGGATGGGTAATTGTCAAAATTATGGTCCCTTTTTGGGTGCCCTAAATATTAGGTGCCGTAGTAGAATAAGCCCTGGATGGGTAATTATCAAAATTATGGTCCCTTTTTGGGGTGCCCTAAATATTAGGTGCCGTAGTAGAATAAGCCCTGGATGGGTAATTGTCAAAATTATGGTCCCTTTTTGGGGTGCCCTAAACAGTAGGTGCCGTGGTAGAATAAGCCCTGGATGGGTAATTATCAAAATTATGGTCCCTTTTTGGGTGCCCTAAATATTAGGTGCCGTAGTAGAATAAGCCCTGGATGGGTAATTGTCAAAATTATGGTCCCTTTTTGGGTGCCCTAAATATTAGGTGCCGTAGTAGAATAAGCCTTGGATGGGTAATTGTCAAAATTATGGTCCCTTTTTGGGTGCCCTAAATATTAGGTGCCGTAGTAGAATAAGCCCTGGATGGGTAATTGTCAAAATTATGGTCCCTTTTTGGGGTGCCCTAAATATTAGGTGCCGTAGGACAAAAAGGACCCAAAAAGGGACCCTGATATTGACAACCACCCATGTAGGGCTTTAGGTTAAGGCTTTGTGCTTCGAGTACGACTCGCGTTATCAGACTTCAAGTGTAGGCCCCAGCCCGGTGACAGCCAAAACTCAGAACTTGTATTTGGAGGATCATGGGACTGAGCAAGGAGGGTTCTATAGTACCTTAATCGCGGCTAGAGGTAGTTCAAAAGTACAGTAACCTTCATTATTAGAAGCCTATATAACTACTTCGCCCCATGAGCCTTCATAGTAGTAGAAGCCCAAAAGTTGGAAACCCAATAGCCTCAGTCCTTAAGACTGATGTATAGGGAATCCCAGCACTATTTGTCCTTAGTCCAGTTTCCAACCTTTTCGGGGCTTGTCGTTATCACTGCACCCAGATACCTGATTCTAACTACACACTGACCTCGCCAAACGAAGTCGGCGATGCAACCGATGCCATAGAGGTCCTGCCGGGGCGTTGGGCATGGGCGAAGCTTGCAGGTCTCTTGGTTTTGGGTTTAGGTTTCAGGTTTGGGTTTCACGGCATTGGACTCGCGGCTTAAAGGCCTGGGTTTGAGATCTAGTTGCTCATAGCAGCGTAGCGGCGTAGCGTGCTTCAACTAAAAGGAGCCCAGAGAGCCCAAAATCCCTTAATTAAGGAATATAGCTTAAATCATAATATGAAGCCCCTTACAATCTAAGGTATATTCCTTAGTTAAAGGGTATTGGGCTCTCTGGGAAAAGCTGCGATTGAAGCACATATCGGGCCTGAAGAGTCAGTAGTGTGGCTTCAGCGTTCACATATAGCAACACCCAAAAGGGGGATGTCGCTTTGGCGTTTAGGGTTTAGGGATCAGATATCCTTACAAAGCGCTACCAGCCCTAACAGAGTGCAGCTGTGCTCACTCCATACAAAACTCTAATTTCATTGAAGTTTCCTCAACCAAACGTCTCCCTAGAACAACTCAAGCTACCCTCTCAAGGGCAGGTCCTTCACCTTGGCTTCGAATTCTACACTCTGGGCCCTACCCGAATTCTGAATACAAATACGCTTCAAATCCCATTATTTCCTAAATCCTATAAACCCTAAACCCTGAATAACTTCAAACCCTGAGCCCGAACCTAAACCAATAAACCCTAAACTTCCTAAGCCCCTACGGCCCCTAAAGCCAAAAAGACAGTCTCACCCAAAAATCCCTAAACCGCTCAAATCCCTAAAACCCACAGAAACAAAAAAAACGAAAGCCCCTAAAACCCGTAAAACTCCTGCAACGCCTAAACCCTCCCGCCCACCCCGGTCCGGCAGCTCGACGCCAGGCTCTTGGCGTTCCAGGTTGTGCCGCAGCTTCTTCCAGAAGTTCATCCCACATGGATCTGCCTCTTCATGCCCATTACCCAATAGGCTACTCGTCCAGAATTTTGGGGAACTAAAGGTTAACTTTGGGAGTATATTGGGATTCTATAGGGTTTTTGGTACCCCACGAAGGTTAAAGTACCTACGCTGCTACTTGGACCCATAGGCCGTAAGGGTTTCGTACAGCGTTCAGGGCGTGGTTTTAGGGATCCGCCTGCGGGCTTGAGTCTTAGAGGCTTTCAGCAGGTTTTCATCGTTTTTAGGGATTTAGGGATGAAGGAGGGTTTTTTGAATTTATTTACAAGGGGGGCTGGAAGAACTTTAGACCAAATCATGCGTGTAGCTGGCTGAGAACTCCGGGTCTGTGGCTCGTGTTACATAACTCGGGTAGTTCGTGCTGCAAAACACCTTGCACTTGGCATACCCCCAATCATAGGGATCCTTAGGGGTGTAGGGGGGAGGGGTGTAGGGGACTATATTTCCTTAAATAGGCCTTATTAGTCCTTATTATGGGCCTTAAGGCCCCCTACCCCCCCTCCCCCTACACCCCTAAGGATCCCTATGACCCAACCAAGGAAACCCGAAGACTGCACATAACACGGAAGCCTCAAAATAGTATGGGTAATTATCAAGGCCCCTCTATGGGAGTTTCCGAAAATTAGCGGTACCTTATTTTGACACAATCAGGATCCTACTAGTTAGGGTACTATATTCGGGTCCCCTATTCTCGGAAACTCCCATACTCGTGTTTTGAGGGCTTTGTCAAACTTTGCGGTTCAGGTCCATGGCTTAAGAGCTTTACGGTTTAGACCGTACGGCTTTGCAAGGCTGAGGTGGAGTTTATCTGGTGTCTGGGCAGGGGGTTTCAGGGGCTCAGGGTAATCATAAGAAGGGGCTGTAGGGTCTCAACTGAAGGATTTCGACGATCTCGACAAAGCTTCTCATGGGAATCCCGCGATTCGAGGCACTCTGACAGTCTGTGTACCCTGCCACGAGGCCACAGGAACACAGTATGTTGTCCCGTCCTTAAAATCCAAGGGCAAAAGGAGGGACCCTTAATAAGGACCCCTAGGTATATACCCTTAATATAGCTATTATGTACCCATTATATAGCCCATTACAGGGTAGGGGTCCCCATTAAGGGTCCCTCCTTTTCCCCTTTGAATAAAAACTAAAACTGAAAACCCCTTACCCTGAAACTTTGCGGGCCGCTGCCTGCTGTGGGACCTTGCCCCCAGTGAGGCGTAAGATGGCGGTTGCCTGGGCTCTTGTTCTAGAGTTTGTACCTGGGGATCCAAAAACCTACTGTTTTAGGGTTCCTTTAAGGGTTCCTACATGTGATCTAGAGAGTTAGACCCTCTAATTAAGGGGTCATAACCTACCATTCTGCAGGGTTTGGGGATACAGGTAAGGTTTGTTATGTCAAACAATGGGGAGTCTTATCATGGTATGTAGGTATGTAAGATTCTATTCCTTCCTACATGGCCGGTATCCTGGGCAACTGAAGGTTAACCTTTGAGAGTATAATTCCTAGACCTAAGAGTAACCTAGGAATAAAAAGGGTGCCGTTTTTGCTTGAAGGGTGGTTTTAAGGCAACCAAAATCCTGAAAATCGGAATAAGGGCCTACTGGGTCCTAGATTCCTGAACACGAGCCCAGTTGCAGCAGCAGTGACCCCCAGCTGCAGCCGGTGTTCGATGCCTACACCTGGGGATTTAGGGCTTGGGGTTTAGGGTTTAGGCTTGGGGCTCAGAGTTCAGGAATTAGGCTATTCTTAGAGGATCACGGGACTTAGTAACTACGGTTATAATTAAGGTAACTATACTTATAACTAGTTATAACCCCAGTTAAGGTACTTATAACTGTAGTTACTAAGTCCCAGGAACCTCCAAGCAGATTCTGCAGGCTTGAGGGTTTAAGGTTGAGGGTGTCAGTTTTTTGGGCTGAGGACATGCCTTTAGAGGCCCCTGCTCTGCCCTGCGCTGCCCCTCCGCCCCCGTTCACCCCTAAACCCAATCGCGAATAGTTTGGGTGGTTGGAGCCGGACACCAAGAAGCGCACCCACCGCGCGCAGTGCCTACACGCCCTTAACCCTAAACCCTAACCCCTTTAACCCCAAACTCCTAAACTCTAAACGGTGCCTTCGCGGCCTCCTCCGGCAACTTTGGCCCAAAGCGCCGCCTCCTCTTTGCTCACAGGCTAAGCTCAGGGGCTCCAGTGGATTTGGGCTTAGAGGCTCCGGCGGTTTTGGGGTTCGGGGCTCAAGCTCCTTTAAGGGATACCAGAAGGGATCTTTCCTTTAAGGGGTTTAGGGTTCTAGATTTTAGGGTTTAGGGTTTCGGGCTTGAGGGTTTTAGGGTGTAGGATTTCGTGGAAGCATGCACCGTAACCTACTCGTCCGATATCCTGGGGAACTGAAGGATAACCTTGGGCTTCTACAGGGGATATAGCAGTTTTGGTACCCTACTAGTAGGTGGAAGCATGCACCATTATCAAAAAACGAGGCAGGTGCCCAAATCAATCTGTAGGCGAGGAGCAAACATCCCTCAGCAGATTTGTGGGCGGCATCAAGATCTAGGTGTCCTTCTTTTCTTTTTGAAACTCTTCTGGAACCGTCAGGCTGGGTTCGGGATCCAGTCCAGCGAACACAAGAACGAGCGACGACATCGATACCCGTCTCCCTGACCACGAAGAGCCGCTGCCGTAGAACGTGCTTCAGAAAACCACACCATGCCCAGAAGAAGCTCCGAACAGTTGCCCTTGAAGAGGACGCCAAACCAACGCATCACTGC